TTCAGCAGTCCACACTTAGACATTACTCTTATTTGGGCCTCAGCATTAAATCCTGCAGTCCTTGCTCAGTCTAAATTACCAGCAAAGTCAGAGAATGTGCCTCTAATGTAGAGGAGTGCATGATTTTGCTCACTGCAGGCAGCTGAAAATACAACTGCTAGGTCTGGATTTTCTTCCCCCCATCCTTTTCAGTACTGCGCACCTGGCTGAATTGCAAGGGCTGCAAGATTTACTTTCAGTTTCACAATTATACTTCCCAGACGTAATAGAAGCTGCAACTTCAGTGACAACTAAAACATAACTCTACCTCACCATGATTTTCATTACAACCTGTACATCTGTTTGCTTTTGTTACATTCAGTTTGGGGGTTAAACACAGAAAAGTAAATTTTTTTTTGCTACTGTCAAACAAAATCTAGAATCAAAGTTAGTTTCTTTTTTGGAACTAATATTCTCTTTCAGAGATACAAATGTCTGCTTCTTAAACTGTGTTAACTCCAGTAAACTTGGATTAAAATCAGAGAAAACACACCATCAGTTGCCAGGTCTCTGTAGGTAACAACACATTTAATCTTCTAAACTTACTTGTCTAAAAAGCTTAAAATATTATTTGTGATTTCTTTAGCATCAGTTATTAAGGACAAGGTTGAGCACAAAACAAGTAGGTTTTGCAGCTTGTGCATATTATAAATGTGAGCTAAAAAAGTGATGTTGTGGCCGTGATGGTTCAGAGCTAAAAGGCACTTACGCATGGTTATGAAACTAATTTGATGACTCCTTCCTATGGCAGTGATTCTCAACCAGCATGCCCTGGGGTGCCTTGAGATCCTTTCAAGGGTGCCACAGGGTGTTGCACAACATTAGCACTGCTAGTGTGCAAACAGGATTGACTAAGTTGTGGGGGGAAGTGGGCACACTAGAAGGGAGGGACAGGCTGCAATTGGACCTGGACAGGTTACAGGGGTGGGCAGATGAGAACAGGATGGGTTTCAACACTGACAAGTGCAAGGTGCTGCACCTGTGGGGGAAGACCCAGCAGCAGACCTACAGGCTGGGGAACTCGTTCTTGTCAGTACAGAGGCAGAAAAGGATCTTGGAGTCATTATTGATGCCAAAATGAACAAGGGTCGCCAATGAGGATGAGGTCGGGAAGGCCAACCATACCTTGTCGTGCATCCACAGATGCATCTCGAGCAGGGCCAAGGAGGTGATCCTCCCCCTCTACGCGACACTGGTCAGGCCACAGTTGGAGTACTGCGTCCAGTTCTGGGCGCCGCACTGCAGGGGGGATGTGGACAGCATGGAGAGGGTCCAGAGGAGGCCACCCGCATGGTCAGGGGGCAGCAGGACAGGCCCTACGAGGAGAGGCTACGGGACCTGAACCTGTTCAGCCTCCACAAGAGAAGGCTGGGGGGGGATCTAGTGGCAGTCTACAAACTAGTCAAGGGACCAGCAGGCATTGGGGGAGTCCCTGTTCCCCTGAGCACTCCCAGGAGTGACTAGAAATAACAGTCACAAGCTGGCAGAGGGTAGATTCAGACTAGACATCGGGAGGCGCTACTTCACTGTTGGGGCGGCTAGGACCTGGAACCAACTCCCAAGCAAAGTGGTGCCGGATCCTACCCTGGGGGTCTTTAAGAGGAGGCTGGATGAACACCTTACTGGGGTTGTTTGACCCCAGTACTCTTTCCTGCCATGGCAGGGGGTCAAACATGATGATCTGCTCAGGTCCCTTCCGACCCTACCAACTATGAAACTATAAGAGAAACTGAGATTTCAAATAAGAATTCATACTGTTAAAACAATCATGCCCTCCTGTGGCCTGAGTTCTTCGCCAAAGAATTGCTCTGTTATTTTTTGTGTAGTCCAAAAATGAGTAAAAACTAAGAGATGGCATTTTCCAAGGGGGGGGGGGGGCCTCGAATCTAAGACAGGGTGTCCTAGGTCTAAAAAGGTTGAGAATCACTGCTCTAGGGAGAGGAGCACAAGGATTCCAGGTCTGTAGAGGGAAAAGCATGCATTTCTGGCTCTCTTGGTTTGAAACATGCTGCACATAAAACTCATAAAACCCAAATGCACAGAAAATCTTCCTTAGTCATTGTTAAAGTGTTTTACATTTTCTAAAGTTTTCTAACTCACACCATGGTGCTGGTTATTTATTTGTATTTATATGCCTGTGGTTAGTTATACAAAAGGTTATATAAACAAGATATTATACAAGAGGTTATATAAATAAGATATTATGTAAGAGGTTATACAAGAGGTAATATATAATGATGATACTAATAAATCTTCTACAAGAGGTTAGATGTGTGCCATTTGGCATGATATGATTCTCCCACTGCAATCGTCCTAAAGTCATGCAAAATTAAACATTAATCCCTCCCTCACCAATAACTGTATTGTCACACAGCTATTACAACCAAGCAATGGAGCTTCCCTTCCAGTGGGTCTCAAACAATTAAAAATTGCATTTTTAGCCCGTTACCTGGCTTTTTCCCATACAATTCACACACAACCCTGTCCCGTCCTTTAAGCCAGTAACTCCAAAGCATTTACCAAATCCCAGAGACCAATCTGCCCACTCCTGTCTCCAGCTGCCACCAGCGTCCTGCTTTCTGAAGGATGGATAGCCATAGAACAGATTCGGTTTTTGACAACTTTTGTAACAGCATCTTCACTGAGGATCATACAACTCAGACTGTCTTCATATCTAGGCAACATTATTAAAATATTAATGAATTAAAAAAAAAGTAAAACTAGAGAGCTCAAGAAATAAATTGTTAGATGATTACCTTTTTATGTCATACACATGCTTTTCTGTATCCTCTGGTTTTATCTACATTATGAAACAGAAGGATGAGGGAGGGGAAAGGACAAATTTGTTTGGAGAAAAATGTATTAAGAGCTCAGACTAAATGTACATTATCAAAAAAAGAGAATGTATTCTGATCAGCAATACCTCACTTATCTTTGCCCAGCTATCCAGAAACTCCTTAGTCAACACCTTGCTTGTATTCTCACCTGCAGGTAGCATCTGAAGAGGTCCAGGTGGCAACAGAGGCTGTTTGATAGAAATGGGGTAGAAATTATTTTAAATAAATACCATTATTTATTTTCCTTTCAACTTCCCCCCCTAATTTATCATATTAGAAATATTAATAACCAAAGGGAGCTCTTCAGCTCTTGAACCTTCCACACCTTATGATATTACAATGTGGAAAGGGTGCATCAAAATGAGAAACTCCTATTAAAGCATCTTATTTAAAGGAAGGGAGGGAAATTAATTAGCAAGTACAAGTGGGTCAACAAATAGCCACCCTAATATTTTCCCCCTTTTATTTCTTCCCTTGCATCCAGCAAAGGCTCTCTTCAAGGACTGCATTGCAGAATACTGGCGTTACTTCAGCAGCACGACAGAGAAATTTAAATCAACTCAGAAGAATATGGTCTTATCTGTTGCCTGTGCATCTTCCTCAAATAATACAGGTAAGTGCATCAGACAAAGATGAAACTAGATTAAAATCAGACCGCAGTTACAGTTAAACAAAAGCAAAACAGAGCAAAAATATTTGGAATGAAATACAACCTCCACTCTGAATCGAAGAATATTTCATATTATCGGAAATTCAATCATGAGATTACAGAGCAGGGAACGTATTTCATCAGTCTGAGGTGCAGAACATTGACCTAACTATTGAATGCTCCACTTCCATCACCAGATTACATTTTGATAGAACGGACCAGAGCAAGCTCTGTTGAGATTCATCTCAAACTTGGTTTCCGCAAAACCCCTGATCACTTCCTTGAAGCAAATGACTAAGCAAGACAAATGAGGGTGAAAGAATTTTCCTCTGGGCACTGCACGAAAGACTTCCCAAGCATCTCCAAGGGATAGAACAAAATTGATTAGTGTCAAATATTACAAGCGACAGCCACCAACACTTAAGAAGAACCCCAGCGCTCTTTCCTGCCTGAGGCAGGGGATCGGACTCGATAATCGGCTGAAGTCCCTTCCAACCCCGACATCTACGAACCGAAGGGCTGAATACAGAGATTGTCTTCACGAGGCTATCGACATATTTCTTCTTTTGCCCTCCCCCATCTCACGTGTTCATCGATGACTGTTTCTGGCGGTGCAGGAAGTTCTGGCAGTGGAACTCCCGATGGGTCCACCCTCTGTAAGCGCATAGACCTTCGACGCACTGTCTCATCTCCTGCCTTTTTGGGCTTAACTCTAGAGGAATAAATACACATCAGATAATACATAGCCAAAGAACTCAGACGCATCTGATTCCTCGGGAAGCCTCTCTCAGTGGCTTGGACCCCTATTTCCAGGAACTTGACACAGACCAGTGGCCCAAATAGTCATTCTAGAAACGTCATTTTGTCAAAACTGTCATCTTATTTCCATCCAGTAACACCCCACTGGTAATAGCCTGCCCTTCCAATGCTTCCAGTTTGCATTTACAATGCACCCTCTCTCTAGCTGCTCTACTTTTCTTTTCACAACTTTTTCTATTTATGGTGTGAATTTCCTCGTCGCTCCCCTCCAAGACTTCATTCATCTTTAATATTCATTTTCATTTTCTTTCATGCAATATTTTATTTCCTTCTTCCCTCTGTACCGTGGCTTGATTTCCTGCCTTTGCTTGCTTTTGCTTAATGCATGTTCTTCTATATCCATTAGTTATCCTTCCTCTCATATAGCTAGGGCTTTCTCTCTTTCTTCCTCCTCATTTTTCTCTTTAGCTCCCTTTCATTTCCTTTCATCATTTAGATTGATTTTTCCCTTAGCCAGCACAGCAAATAAAACGCTATAAGAAAAAGTGGCTCCTGAATATCTCGATGAGAATACCACAAAAATAGCTATTTTGGGGGGTTTTTTGATCAAAAGATACTCATGCTTATATTTATGTTCCTTTCCTTGGAAAAATGATATAAGGAAGAATACACTGAACATAGTGAACTTGCTACAGATGCTGTATATGCATATGGGGATTTACAGGGACAGTATAATGTAATCAGAAGTCTAGACATGCCATACAGATACTGCTTGCTGATCTCTAATGCGCTTGCTTATGCACGTGTGTGCTCTCTAGGCCTGTGCGGGTAGGCAGCTATTCGATCCAGCTTTGGATCCGGCCACTTCGGATGCCAGCGATCTGATCCGGAGCGCTGGATCAGTTTCCCACTTCGATCCGGCTGAAGCTGTTCCAAAGTCCAACTGACTGTCTGTCTTGGGGCAGTTGAATGTCAGACCAACCTGGTGGCCTTCTACAATCAGGTCACAAAATCACTGGACGCAGGCGTCGTGGTGGATGTAGTCTTTCTGGACTTCAGGAAGGCCTCTGACACTGTCTCCCACCCCATTCTCATTAAAAAGCTAGGCGACCGCGGCATTGATGCCTACAGTCAGATGGGTGACAAACTGGCTGAGGGGTCACACCCAGAGTGGTGGTGGATGGGTCATTTTTGACCTGGAGGGAAGTGGGCAGTGGGGTCCCCCAGGGCTCGGTCCTTGGGCCCACACTGTTCAATTTATTAGCGACTTGGACGAGGGGGACGAGGGGGTGAAGAGCTGCCTGTTTAAATTCACAGACAACACCAAGATTTGGGGTGATGTGGGCATGCTAGAAGGGAACGACAGATTACAGCAGGACTTGGAAAGGTTACAGGGGTGGGCGAATGAGAATAGGATGGGATTCAATACTGACAAGTGCAGGGTGCTGCACTTGGGCAGTAAGAACCAGCAGCACATCTACAGGCTGGGGAACTCCCTTCTCCAAAGCACGGTGGCAGAAAGAGATCTTGGAGTCATTAAACATGGGCTGACAATGCGAGAACACAGTCAGTAGGGCTAGCCGTACCTTGTTGTGCATCCACAGATGCATCCCGAGCAGGTCCAAGGAGATGATCCTCCCCCTCTATGCGACGCTGGTCAGGCCGCAGCTGGAGTACTGCGTCCAGTTCTGGGCGCCGCACTTCAGGAGGGATGTGGACAGCATGGAGAGGGGCCAGAGGAGGCCACCCGCATGATCAGGGAGCAGCAGGGCAGGCCCTATGTGGAGAGGCTACGGGACCTGAACCTGTTCAGCCTTTGCAAGAGAAGGCTGAGGGGGGACCTGGTGGCCGTCTATAAACTTACCAGGGGGACCAGCGGGGTTTGGGAGAGACCTTGTTCTCCCGAGCGCCTCCTGGAGTAACAAGGAATAACGACCATAAATTGCTAGAGAGTAGGTTTAGACTAGACATCAGGAGGTGCTACTTCACACTCAGGGCGGCTACCATCTGGAACCAACTTCCAAGGGAAGTGGTGCTGGCTCCTACCTTGGGGGTCTTTAAGAGGAGGCTTGACATTTACCTGGCTGGGGTCATTTGAGCCCAGTTTTTTTGTCTCCTGCCCAGGGCAGGGGGTTGGACTAGAAGATCTACAAGGTCCTTTCCGACCCTACATCTATGAATCTATGTATTGATTATTTCCTCTCCTTAGTGCGCGGTTTTGTAGGTGTTGACTGTTGCTAATTAACTGGTGACATTAGCTAACAACTGTGTATTGAGCTGGTCCCTGAGTGAATCACGACTGCTCGGTAACTGGTAACACAATAGCTTAGTAGCCAGGCCTGCGGTAGTTGTGTCCCCCCCACACACTCACCAAGACAGACAGTTGCACAAGCACCCATGTCACGAGTTTTGCCTGTCAGCAGCCAGAGGTGCAGGTCCCAGAACCCATAAGCTCTGCACCGATCTCCTCAACAGCTGGCAGGCTTCGTGGCCTCACCAGGGGCCACCATCCCTGCAGTTTTCACCCCGCTGCGCCTTAACACACACATGGTCATCTATGTCACAAGTTTTGCATGTCAGCAGCTTGAGGTGCAGTTCCCCCCAAGCCCCTGCACCGATCTTCTTGAAACTTGGCAGGCTTTGTGGCCTCCCCAGGGGCCACCACCCCTGCAGTTTTCACCCCCCTGTGGCTTATCACATACACATGACATGAGTTTTGCTTTCAAGAATTTGGGGTGCAGTTCTTCCCAAACCCCTACACCTATCTCCTTGGAACTTAGCAGGCTTCATGCTCTCAGCAGAAGCTACCATCCCCTGCGAGTTTCATCCAAATCAGACAAAAACCAACAAAGTTATAGATATTTCATTGATTCCCCATTATACCCTATGGCCGGATCTCCAAAGCAGCTCCAAAGCTTTTCCAAAGTGGTTCAGAAAGCCTAACGAAGCCAGCACTTCGATCCGGACATGCTGCTTCGGACGCCAAAGCGTCTGAAGCTTCTCCGGATCCAAAGCATGGTCCGAAGCCTCGCACAGCCCTAGTGCTCTGTATTATACATGTTCAGGGAGAACCTCCACCCCCCACAGAATTAACAAAAAACAAGTCACAGCATATCTCAGATATGTTTGGTTTTTTTACCTTTTGATCCCATGGGACTGTACTTTAGATGCTATTCTGCGAAGTCTTGCAGCTGACTGAAAAGTATAGAAATAAAAGTCTTAGAAGCATCAGCTACAGTACTTTTGTATGAAAAAATAACTAAAGATATAGTAACGGTATTGCTGTTTTAGTTGCATGAATGAACCAAAATATTAGGTTTTCACATTTATTCTATCAAAATGAATAATCTAACTTGTCCATTTTTTGCTTTGTAAATTATTTTCCTAACTTCCAATTTTTCAGACTAGAAAGGGAGCCCAAGAGTCAAGCTGTGTTGCTTCTTTCTCTTGTTTTTGCTACCTGATCATCTACCCGTGGCAAAAAATGGCACTGAGTTCTGCGGACGGCATAAAACAGCAAAGTCTGGTTCATTTAGCTGTTCTATACCTCCCCTACAAAAACGCCAGACAGAGCGTGACCAACTAGAAAAAAATTAAAAAATCGGCAGAAAACTGTACGCATGAAAACCAATGATATATTTGAGTTTGAAGACACAAGTAGTTTTAGTTTAGCAAAAAAAAAAAAAATCACAAGAGGCTGCACAAATGCTATAACATTGCTATCAATCAGGGACTTGGATTCAGTACACCTGCAGACAGAGAAGCCTAGTGGGAGATAACCGAGCGCTTGCTCAAAGCATCATTTTCTCAGACATATGCAGCTCTCTAAAGCATAGTTTAGATGCTGCCCACCTTGGCAGAGGTGTGTGCAGATAAGAAAGATGCCTTAAACTTTGGGTACTACAAAGATATTGCAGATGACCATAAACCAGCCAATCAAAGTACTGGTCACGACAGCACCGTGGAGCTCAGCAAAAGCTGACTTGCCCTGCTTCTTGGGCAGGCTCTGCGGCCTGTGCCAAGATCCATACAGCTGCAGCTAAATTAGTACTTAATTCAGTTTACAGTCTCCTCACACAATACTGTACACTTCATTGCACTCCCCATACCACACACCTACATACTGTTTCTATTCCACTAGCTGGAAAGGAGCTCTTGAATCTCAGCTTTATCCCTCCCTATTCTGTCCGCACCCCTGAACCCATAAGCAAATAAACAAGCGCGTGGACTTTGCTGCATGGCCCTGCTGCTAAAAGAGGATGCACGAGGAATTAATAATAAAGAAAACACAGGAGAGAGAATGAGTCTGGAAAAAGGCTACAGAGACCAGGATCGGCATACGTACAGGAAATGAAAAATGTTACTTCCTTAGCATGTTTTAGAGTACTCCCAAAAAGTATTAGATAATAGTTAGTGTTCTGTCTTATCTGAAATCTCCCCCTTCAAAATTTTAGATTAAACTTCTACCAAAAAACTTGGTTCAAAGGACAGTCCAACACTGTGAAGTCTGGTGTTTCTTGGAGTTTTTATGCTCTCCTTCAAAGCACCGGACATTGCGTACTACTGGGGACACGTTTCACAGCTACGTGGACCACGGGTCCTTTCTGTCCGGTAATTCCCATTCGAGTTAGAGTGCCAATATTTTGTGTGTACTCTTGAGAGAAACTATACAAACCTCATGCAGCTTCAGAGAAGCAAAAAATTTAGCATTTTCTTTAATGTTCTTGAGTCTTTTTCTTTCGTAGGCTGACAACTGCGAAGATCCCTCCTGCACAAAATAAAGGAAGGCAATTATAGCTTTAATAAGCAGAGTGCATAGGGAGGCCAGGACTGCTGAGAAGACAAAGCACTACACAAACTTTTCTTTTTATTCTAGCAAGCTAGAAACCTTTAGAAGATGTGAAGTTTCAAACATTTCTTGCATTCTTTTATAGATAAGATTTTTGCTCTCTCTAAGATGAGCAGACATGCATCTTCCAAATATCTGCTACTGCATGAAGTTATGAATGGCAAAATGTACAAGCCACCTGAAGGATGGTTTAAAAAAAAAAAAAAGAACAGGCTTGGAGAAAGAAAATGAGCAGTGCACCGACCTCCTGACCTCCAAACTTTGCCAGAGCGCTGCCAAAGGGATCAAAACTAACGCCGTGACACACAAGCAGCAGAGCTGCTCCTACGCAAAGAGCTTTCCTATTGCTTTTCCCCACAACAGGAAAGAGGAAAACTAGCTCCAATCACAGAGTCTGATATTAAGGAGCTAATGGAAAACTTTTTGAGTTTGTGCCTTCTGGAGCACAATGGTGACATGGTGAGACTTTGGAGATCTGAAGAAATCTGTAGGCAAGGCAGTTAATACGGTAATTTTAGGAAACCCTTATTAATTTCATGCGTCAAGTATCCAGGTTGTAGCTGTATTGGCTTAAAGGAAAAGGCAATCAGGACTCCTAGTAGGAGATATTAGCTTTTATTAAACCAGGAAGATGTTTGCAAGATTTTTTGACAAAAATCTTGTTGGCCTAATAAAAGACGTCATCTCTACTACGAGTCCCGATTGCCTTCTTAATGCCAAACAGTGGCAGGAAGCAAGCAAGTTTTATTGCTAGATGGGTGTGTTCTGTGCACATGCGTGCACACACGTGCGCATGTATGTACCCATGCACACGCGCGTTTTTGAAGATGGATTTTTGAAGATTCGTGCTCGAGTTCTCTATAAAAGTTAACATTGTTTTAATGAAACATTGTGCTCATCATACGATACTGAAATAATAAGTAAGGAAGCACCCAGAATGGGCTGCTTATATCAGAACAGCGAAGCCTTGTAAAGAGAGATCGGTCGTTATTAGCTTGATGATCTTACAAGGTCCCTTCTAGCCCTAACGTCTATGAAGTCTCTGGAAGGGATTATAGAGCACAGACCACACACAGAAACCCCCCCCCCCTTTTTTTTTTTTAATTAAAGGTTCATTATTTATAAAGGAAAAATTATTCAAACAAGTCAAGTTCATCTTCATGAGTGGCCTTGCTGCTTAGCCCTAATTACCAGCAATACACAGAGCCCCATAATTTACAGCTCATTTTAAGATCCTCTGTGACATCTGGTGTTTCCCCCCTAACAGCAGGCAGCCAAACAAAAAACAGGTTGAAAGCTGTGAAAATCCCCGTTTTATAATAAAAACGGTGTGGGTGTGCAAGCACAGAGGCTGTCCGTGAAACTACAATAGGTTGAAAGTTGTGCAAATGCTCGTTTTATTTTTCCTCTGCTTGTACGAATAGAAGTGGTGCGTGCGCACGCACAGAGACCGTCGGTGACACGACGAAAATAGGTTGGAAGTTGTGAAAATGCTGGTTCTTTTAACAAGAACAGTTAAAAGTTGCAGAAGTGTCGGTTTTACCACACGAGTGGTGCGTGCGTGCGTGTGCACGGAGGCTGTCGGTGAAACTACACGAGTAGTCGGGAGGTGTGGGAATGCTGGTTTTATAACACGAGTGGTGTGCGTGCGTGCGTGCGGCGGAGGCCGTGGGTGACACCGCGGCAGCGGCAGCAGCAGCGGGGAGTGTGGCACAGCTGGGTCTCACCAGGGCGGATCCGTCGGGGTCGCTGGTGTCGCTGTCCATGTCCACGTCCACGTCCAGGCCCGTGGCGGGGGCGGGGGCGGCGCGGGCGGCCGTGTTGGCGGTGATCTCC